GCAGCTTCCATGGACGGTTGAGAAACTTCCCAAGCCCTAAACGCTAAACCCTAAGCCCTTAACCCTTAGACCCTAAACCCTAAACCCTACAGATTTGTTTAGAGTTAGTCGAGTGCAGTCTCAGTCTCGGTGTTTGAAGGCTTCGAGACATTTTACACCAGGAGTGCCCGACATCCGAAACAGCACAAGATCTAAAATCCAGTCATGCTCAACCCTAAACCCTAAACCCTAAACCCTAAACCCTAAACCCTAAACCCTAAACCCTAAACCCACTTTGGCATGCTTGGGGCTGTTGAGCGTATGGTCTCCGCGATCAGCACTAAGCCCGGTAAATGAAACCATTGAAGCTCAAGCCTTGGTGTCTGAATCGCCCACTGCCACCGCAGACTGAACCGTGAAACAGAATTATTGGAATGGGGTTTTGGGGCCGATTATACTATTACTATAAGTATAACAGGGAACCCCCAAAACGTTTTTGGCAATTATATGGGCAGGGTGTGGTTCGGATATTGCTTGGTTGTCGATGCAGCTTTTCGCGTCGCCGGCCCTCTGCTTGCCGTTGGAAACTTAACTACCAATTGCCTACGAAGCCCCCCCCCAAAAAAATGGGGAAAAAAACATCTTCCTTATAAAGGGAAATATAGGGATTACTGTTTCTTCTTCTTTTGGGGATCTTAAGCAAATAGTAGTTAAGTGCGGTGAGCGGATCCGTGGCAGCTGACCGGTTCCGTCGTGTTATGTTGCGGCTCAATCGGTTCTTAGACCGATGCTTAGTTGTCCAGTAACCTGGGGGAATTAAAGGTTAACCTTTGGGATTCTAAGGGGATTACACTACCCCAAAAAGGTTAAAGGTTTTCTACTCTACTACTAGGGATGTTTGACCAGTTCTGCATACACGATTCGGCAGGCTCGAAGTTACTGGGCTATCGACATGATTTCCGCGCAGGTCTTGAGCTGAACTGTGTGTTCGGGGATGCCATGAGCCTGAGATCCTTGGGGACGAAATGAACCCTAAAAGGGTCATAGACCTTAAAAGGAATTGCAGTAGTCAGGGTATATGACCCCAATTTTAGGGTTCATAATTCGTCCCCAAGGATGACACCCGGATATGGCTTTGGGCTCTCTGAGACCGGCTGCTTCAAAGCCATGCCCGGCTTTGCTACTAGGGTTTAGGGTTAGGGTTTAGGGTTTAGGGTTTAGGGTTTCGGGTTTAGGGTCCGTCCTTGATTTCGCTGGGCAGTGCATCGATGGAGGTCTCTGCAGCCTCCACGACCGAGTTGCCGACGATGACAGCGGCATTTCCCACGTAGTCTCCCACTGTCAAGCCCACATCGGCGATGCCTGTTTCGGGTTTAGGGTTTAGGTTTGCTTCCATCTCAACTGTACATCACAAATAACACGTAGGTTTACGTGTAGCAAAACTCCCAGTTCGAAAGCCTGTTTGCAAAACAATCCCAGGGCAGCCTGAGATGGTTTCGAATTAGAGGGTTCATCAGTTCATCGTTGAAGGTTTGTATGGGGTCTAAAGTGGAAGGTTTAAAGGATTTCAGAGATCAGGGCGATGACACACGTAAGAAGGGGCGCGCAAGGGCGGCTCGAGACCGCCGTCAACAGGAGGAGCAAAGCGAACGGGAGTGGGCACAGCAAACGCTGCCCATCAGCGCAGAAAGCTCTAGTTACATGCGGAGACAACCAGCAGCTTGCTTGACAAACCCTTTCCCACGAGGCACACTGACAAAGCGCTCTGCATGGTGGCCTGTGCAATGGAAGAAAACCCCTCGCTGCTCCGACCATGCTGCTCCAGGAAACGAGGTCGGGTTTTTGGGCTTGGGGCGTGGAAGTCTCAGCTGTCCGTCACTGTTTTGGGAACCTTGGGAAGAAAGAACCCTAAAAGGGTTTAGGATTCATGTACCTTAAAAAATGAATTATAGTAGTATAGGGGTATATGAATCCAATTTTAGGGTTCATCATTCGTCCCCAAGGAGATTTCCTTGAAGACTCCCGCGCGCGTTCGCTTGGGGTCATCGTACACTGGTCGTTCAGCTACGCTCTTCGATCCTTGCACGAATGTTGGCACCATGACTGTACATAAATGACTTGCAATCCTCAACCTAAGGGTTTAGGGTTTAGGGTTTAGGGCTTAGGGTAGACCCGACACCCTCAACCCCGACAAGCCTTTGCCAATGTCGCCTGCCACGTCGACGGCAGACCCTGCCGCGTCAGCAACGCCGTTCCCGACGGCTTCTAAGCCTCAAGCGAGATGTGGGGTTTGGCATTGAACGAAATAAAACCTTATGAGACAAAACCCTGTCAAAAAAGCTAAACAAGCTTGCTTACACCCTATGATTCCTTACAGCTTTTGTCGTCGAATGGTCTTATTCACCTAGACCTTCTTATAACAAATGGCCCTGTATACACTCACCGAGGTCAGTATCAACCCTGGCACAGATGGATCTCCGACCCTAAACCCTAAACCCTTATCCGTTCACCCTAAACCCTAAACCCCCTAGAAGCTACTGTGTGCAGGCAGGAAGCCGTCCGCGATTGCGCCAAACACTTTCGAAGACACCACGCTGTCCAGGCCCTTCACCAGGGTTTCGCTTCGGGGGGCAGCCGGGACGCCTTTGGGCTTGGGACATTTTTTAGGGGTTTGAACAGTTAAGAGTTGCAGAGAAGTTGCCTGTCATCTATAAGAATCTATAGTGCAAACCCTAAACCCTAAACCCTAAACCCTAAACCCTAAACCCTAAACCCTAAACCCTAAACCGAAAAAGCCTGGTGACTCAAAGGGCATTTGAGCGCTTCCGCATCTGCGCAGCGGTCTACGAGCCTCAAGGAGCTTCGCTGAGACGGGCACTCCAAGCCCCCAAGAGTTGAAGGTTCACAAGTAGTTCGATGTAGTTCGAAAAAAGGAACCTTAACTAATGAGGGATTATAAGTAGAGATGTAATGAGATATAGATAGATAGAAGATAGATAGATAGATATCTATATATATATATAGATATCATCGTCCGCAGGCATCCGCAATCAGTGGCCTGAAGGGCGTCGGCTGATCCCGATCCAGCTCGTTTGGAGGCGCGAGCAAGCAACGCAGCGTGCGACTCCTTGGCATCAGGGTTTAGGGTTTAGGGTTTAGGGTTTAGATTTCATCACACTGCGAGGGCATACTCGCTGGTCTTCCTAGCGCGCAAATGATCAAACCAGACAGAAGCACAAAGATCACAGGAGCGTCACCAACAGACAGAATCTGCCTTTACCTATAGAATCTGAAGCGCCGAATCCCTAAAGCCTGCAAGACTAAAACCCTTCCCGAAGGCCTTTGTAAGAGTCCTATGATCCAAAATCCTTGCGCAAACTTTGCAAAACTATACTATACCTCCCATTCAAAGCCCCCATAAGACCCGTCTAAGGGAGCACCAGAAACCGGTCCCAATATAATGACAGCAACATTCCGCGAAAGATGCTAGATGATTCTGGAACTATAGTAGATTAAGAGTCACACAGACAAGCAATATATCATAGATAGCAATAGTGATACACCCCAAAAAACCTCCTCTAACTACTCACGCTTTACATTGTGGAACCTGTATACAGCCCTTCCAAAACCCTCCAATAGACCCAGCATTACCCAAAAGCTCCGAAGTCTGAGCAGAGAAAAGACATCATCTCTCGGCCCTAAGAGTAAAAGCATCTTATTGCATTGGTGCTGAGGCCCCTAAACCCTAGCCCTAAACCCTAAACCCTAAACCCTCAACCCTAAACCCTATAAGCCCTAGACTCAGACCCCCCTTCTGTTACCGGTGCTGGCTGAGTCTCGGAATCTGCGGGTTTTGGAGGCGGGCGCTCCTCGGAGGGGGCAGACCTGACAAGAAAGGCTTGAAGGTGTCCTTAGGGTGTAGGGTTTAGGGTTTAGGGTTTAGGGTTTAGGGTTTAGGGTTTAGGGTTTAGGGATCCTCTTTGAGAATCCTGGAAATCAGGGTTCTTAGATGCTTATATACTTCCAGCACCTTACAGGGCTTCAGGGTGTGAGAGGCTGCAATATCTAGGCTCGGTAACTCTGTGGAGTTCCTATGTTCGGCGTAATGGGACCAGGTTGCTGAGCGCACGAGGTGCACGCTGGACTCTCTGCTTCCTGAACCCTGAACCCTAAATCCTAAACCCTACACCCTAAACCCTAAACCCTAAACCCTAAACCTCGAGCCCGGCTGGGACGCGAAAATCTTTGTGCTAGCCCAATGCTGGTGCGCTACGTGGCCTTCAAAACGCTCGAGATTCTTTACTTAGTTGTCCAGTAACCTGGCGGAACTAAAGGTTAACCTTTGGGATTATAAGGGCATTATACTACCCCAAAAAGGTTAAAGGTTACCTACTTTACTACTAGGTTTAAGTCCTATCAAGGCCACACTGGAGGGCCGCAGTATACATGGTTTTTGACTCCCTAAGCCGCAATCAACCCTAAACTCCCGAAACATCCCTATAAACCCTACAGCCTCTTTTCCCTAACCTCCATAAACCCTACACCCTGCATGCCCTATACCAACCCTAAACCCTAAACCCTAAACCCTAGACCCTACACCCTAAACCCAAAATGGTTCTTGACTTTGCTCAGAGGTTTGGCCTTCGAGGGGTTCGGGTCTGAGATGTGCGGTTTGCAGCGCCGTGGGGGGCCCATTCTGGGACTTCCTTGGGCATCTATATGTCTAGGGTTTAGGGTTCATATAAGTTATATGCCCTAAACCCTGAACCTTATAGACTCTACATAGACCCTATACCGTAGACACCCTATACGCCCCAAACAATCCTCCTATCCGAAACCTGCAACCCTGACCTATACAGCCTGGACTCAGCCCTGCGTCATACGATTAAGGGGTGAGGGCTTAGGCGGAAGGATTTCGGAGGGCTACCCAATTCCAAAAATAGGCGGGCTTTGGGCAACATGCACATTACATGGACAAATATTTCACAGGCACTGTGAGGAACATGGTTTAACTACGGACTTAGCCCCGAGCAATTTGCCCAGAAGTCGAGCAGCTGGGCAGAGACTTGCGAGGACTTTTGGATCAACGCATTGTTGCTGCAAGTTGCCTGGGTCGAGAACCCGGGTGCTAGGGGGGGGGGGGGGGGGGGGGGGGCCTACAGTCGATGATGCTTTATGGTAAACCAGAATGAGAAGAATTCTAGGGAAAGCATGCGTCCAGAACCAGAGAGGGTTGCAATGAACTTACCGGTCCTACCGTAGATGATGCTTAATGGGCGTTTGGGCTTAGGGCCTGCATGGGGCTTATAGGGGCTAGGAAACCCTAAACCCTAAACCCTACCCTAAACCCGAAACCCTAAACCCTTGCTTACAAGGTGGGTTGGGCTATCTCTGCAGGGAAACCAATTACCCTAGGGTTTAGGGTTTAGGGTTGAGGGTTCAGGGTTTAGGATTTAGGGTTTAGGGTTGCCCTAGTGACCTAGTATCTGTCACTCAGAGAACGGTGGCGAACAGCATCAAAGTAGGCTGATTACATGAAGCAATGTTTGCTTCGCGAGCATCCCGACAGGAAATCCGATTCAAGACGGTCCTCACAATCAGGCACTGGCTGCAGACTCACCAACATCCCATCTACACCCCACTTCATGCAACTGCAGAATCTGCTGTGCAATTGCAACGAAAACATGCCTGGAATGTAGTGCAAGAAGAAGCCAAAGAAAGGAGGGCTACTCAACTGAATACGCCGGGCAGAAGTCTTAACCTCAGGCCCCCCCCAAACGGCCAAAACCTTAAACCCTGAACCCTAAATAAACCATAAACCCTATAAGCCTTAAACCCTGAACCCCAGACCCGGAGCATCCTAAACGCTTCCTCAACCAGATCCATCCCAACCCGTCGCCATCCGCTATGCCCCGAAGTTTAGGAGGGTACTAGACTTCGGGCTGTTTTAGGAACTCGGGCTAAGAGTTCAAGATGCGGTTGAGAGCTCTCACTACTTCTGTCTGGTGTAGAGTTAAGATATGAGGCTTGTCCACCCAGAAACAGACTGTCATCGACCTGCAACAGAACCCAAAAAAGCGGCAACAAAAACCAGAAACCTACTATTCCGCCGGTTAGAACCTGTAACCCTAAACCCTAAACCCTAAACCCTAAATCCAAGGGGCAGAATCAGCTCGACAGGAGGCACCGCTATCGCTGGCCAGGGCTGTAGAGCAGACGGTGAGCAAGAGCCATCGGAGGCTAAACCGCCTGAGTCCAGGGTTCTGAGTAGGGTTATAAGTACTCTAAGTAGGGTAAAAAGTATAGCTACCATACTTATAACCCTACTTATAACTATATAACTACCCATGAACCTCCAGGGTTCGGGTAGGGCTTAGATTTTGGGTTACCAGTGCT